ACCCTAGACCCTAAACCCTAAACCCTAAACAGATTATGGCTCATGTGGAGTTTCATGCTACTTTGGAGCAGGGTCGTGTAATTTTGTGAATGAATAGTTCATCCTTTGGTCCCAACCCTAAACCGTGAACCGTTTAGGGTTTAGGGTTTAGGATGGTTTAGGGTTTAGGGTTTAGGGTTTAGGGATACTAAACCCCAAATCCTAGAAGGTAACCCTAAATCCTAGGCCCTGAGCCCTAAATAGTAGTTTCGATTTTTTCCATCATCCCAAAATAACCCCAATATACTACGGGAGTTTCCATTATCCCAATATACTAAACCCTAAACCCTAAGCCTTAAACCCTGAAACCTAGTTGCAGTATCCCAGGCTTGGCATTTGTCACAGAATGCTACGTCACATTGTGATACATTCTGCTGGGAAGCACAATCAAGCACACAATGAGGAACTTTGACAACACGTGGAATTGCAAACTACTCTGATTCATGCGCAAGGCTTTTGGACTGTCCTAGAAAACGTCTCAGGATATACATGACTCATCTTGATCATGACTCGCATCCTTTGCACTGGGAAGCTCTGCCCCACACAAGCCCAAGCAGGCATGCCCATTTCCCTGGAACTTTGGGATGAATGCTGAAGGTGGCTGGGTTTAGGGTTTAGGGTTTAGGGTGCCAGGGGCAAAGAGACTAGGCCCCTTTTGAAGTCCTCACCAAGGTCTAGACCCTAAACCCTAATTCCACAACCCCAAGCCCCATGCATCACTTGAAAATTTGAGCTTGTTTCTCTGTAAGGCTTCCAGTGGGTTAGCCCTTTTTGCATGCTTCTCTTCCCCTAAGCCTCAGGCAAAGCCCTAACTGTATTCATAGTAAGCGTTATAGTAACGATGATAGTGATAATGGTAGTTCGGTAGCGATAATAGCAATAGTAATAATAATAATTGCCGAAATTCGTGTAATAAGTAATTATAATAGTCATCGAAGTATTAACAAGAAAAATATTTGCAGTGAAAGTCCATGCGAATCTTAAGAGCACTAGCAATACACACTAAACCCTAAACCCTAAATCCTAAACCCTAAATCCTAAACCCTAAGTCCTAAACCCGACATCCTAAACCCCAGACCCTAGTAAAGGCCTCGGGGCTACCTGGGAGCTGCTCCGGAAGCATTCCAGCCTGCACCAAGCCATTTCAGGAAAAGCCTTCAATTCTGGGAATCTGTCTGAAGGTATGTGGTGCATATGGGGCTAATGGAAAAGAAAATGGAAACTACAATTTAGGGTTTAGGGTTTAGGGTTCAGACTTCAGTATAGATCCCCAACTACTATGATCTTTTTTTGGGGACCCCCAAAACGTACCCTTAATTTTTGGAGAACCCCCAGGATTAGCTCTGTAGCGTTGATGGCGTGTAGTCCGGTATGACCCTAACTACCTGAAATGGTGGAAATCTGAACAGATTCAGCCGCATGAGGCCGTCTGCTCTACGGCAATGGCAGCAGGTCGTTGTCCTACACGACCTAAATGTCAAAATATCCCTAAACCCTGATCCCTAAACCCTGATCCCTAAACCCTAAACCCTGACCCCTAAACAACCCTAAATCCTAATCCCTAAACCCTAATCCCTAAACCCCCTAATTAAAGCAGCCTCGGCCACGACACCTGCAGGCGCGGTACCCGAGTTGCCGCCTCCGCTTGTTGACGGGTGGCTTCTGTAGTTAGACTATAATATGCTATAGTATACTGTACTACAATATACCATCAGATAGTATACTATACCATAACATACTATAACATACTATAAGATAATAATATAATGCAATATAACATAATGTGTTATAGCTCCATTCACATGAAGACCCTTTAAGGCTCTGGATATGAATTGAGAAACCATCCCATGAAAGGACATGCAACTGACTTCCAACCACTTGTGTTACCGTTGCTTGTACGTCTACTGCTCTAACAACTTCATTCACATCAGTGCAGATGACGGGGACCATGATCTTCAGAACTGACGCGCTGACTTGCCCACTAAACGGGCTTAGGGTTTAGGAGTTAGGGAGTAGGATTTAGGGCTTGATCCCTTACACCGTGAGTGGGCGCCTGGTCCTGAAAGCCGATGCTCAGCCTCAGGCAACTTAAGGCAACACTGTTGGGCTGCGGGTTCCTCACTGTAGGAAGGAAGGGAGGGATGGCTCTCTAGTAGCTGGCAGAACTACAGTAGTTCTCATTCATGTTCTTTTCCACTCCACCCTTTCCTACTCAAACCTAGCAAGCTTAGAGTGAATATGAGCCGAATGACTCGCCCCAACTGGTAATACTACCTGAACGCCATTGTCATTACATCGACTATATGTCCTGTTGTCAGTCTTTCGACCCTGAACCACGTGTCTCCAGCGGAAACCTCAACAAAGTGCCTTTCACTTTCCTATCCTACCTAAACCCGACATAACCGCTACACGACCACTACATATCCATACATAAGCCCTATATTATATACCCCATATGAGCCATAATGTAAACTCCTAGCATCCCCCTTAATAACCCCTTTAGCGCTCCTCTATATGATCCCGTATATAACCGCCCTTTAATAAGTTTGGACCCAAAATTAGAGGTAATTTTTTGGGGGTTCCCCATAATAAGGACTATAGTATATTTGGGTAGTCCCCCTATTTAGCGAAACGTAGTATCCTATATAATCCTCTATATAACCCCCCTCTTAAGGAGTTTAGACCCTAAACCCTGAACCCTAACCCCAAATCCTAAACCATATAACCCCCATTATAACCCTAAACCCTAAACTTCCCCATTACTGAGGAGCTTAGCGCCTTGCGCCCATGCCCTCGCGCTGTCGCCCGCGCGAGTCGGGAATAGGGAGGGTTGGCCTGGGTATGGATAAGGGTTTGGGGTTTGGGGTTTAGGGTTTAGGGGTTTAGGGTTAAAAATGGACCCCCCTAATAATCCCCTAGTTACATCAACGTAGTAATGGGTTCATATTGGGAGGTGGTTCCATTTTTTTGATTTTTTAGAGGGCATGGACAAGGCTGTAATCCCCTTAGACCTAGGTTTTAGGGTTTAGGGATACAACTGCAATCCCTGTAGACCTAGAATAAATATATGGGTATAATATAGGGTTATATAGGGATTCTGGAAAAGAAAATGGAAACTACTATTCAGGGTTTAGGATTTAGGAGAACGACTCGTTTAATAGTTCCTTGAGGTTATACCACAACAACAAGCCTAAAAGCAGTCCCAATAACGATAAGAGCAAGGTATATAACTACAGAACTATAGCCTGACATTTCTGTATCGGATGTGACGGAAAAAGCTTGGCCTGAGGGATTAGGGTTTGGAATGTACCACATTCGGGTTAAGGGCACTACGTCTGCGGGGATATATAGCGGCTATTCGCAGTTCTTGGGGAGAGTGTTAGGCGATATAGACACCAACGTGTATTGCAACACAGCGGGGAGTACTTTGCATATGAGTTTCCGGGATCCAGAATGCTGTTTGGTGCGTCTTGACCTGCCTAGAACCGGCTGCCATGATGATACCTATACGTAAGTCGAACCCTCCCTTGAACCCTACTTAGTCCCTTCTGATTCTGTCTCATCCTTACGCAAGTCCTTCACAATCCTCATGTCGAATAGGCCTTCAAAGCCAGAGAACCAGTGTTTACTCCATTGCCTTGCGAACGCCCTAAGGTGCTGGCCCAGCCAAACTGTTCGGCAGCAACTCCTCCATCAATTCTCTGTTTGAAAGAATGTGGGTTTCCCAAATTGGGGGTACCTTGTTGGGGCTCCTCATAATGCGGGACAATAGTATTTTGGGGTGTATATTGTCGTCCCCCTATTCTGGGAAATTACCACATGTTTTTTTGGTGACCCCAATCCGCCTAGTTACGGCCCTGTAACTATCATGCGACTATAGATAATTTCGAATTCGTTTGGGGGGCTGGGGTTACAAAAGCCCCTTCTTACTTGTGCGCCATAGCCTCGTATGATTAGAATCCCTGTACACTAATCTGAACATGATGCGCTGTTCCCTTTTCAGCGCGAGATTATGAGAAGGTTGTTTGATGATCATAGATTTAGATGAGAGACCCCATCTCTGAGAAAACTTCCCCGTTGGGGATGGTACCCCCTCTCACACTTCACCTCGAAGGCAAATGAGCTATAGTCTAAACTCCCTAAAGGGGTTATATGGGAGGATATATGGGGGACTACTATAGGGGTTATTAAGGGGAATACTAGGAGTTTAGACAATGGTACAAATGAGCTTGAACGGGTTGCAAGGCGGTTCATACGATAACGATCACATGATTATTGGGACTGAAGCGCCGTTGAGAAGAACTTCCAAACTTAAGACCCATGCACCCGAAACTTTTGGGACGTTATGGCAGGAAGTTGCTCACGATTTTCAGAACCCTCGTTTGGAGAACTGCCACTTGTTTTCCCTGGCTTGCTGCACTTGGTGACAATCCAGTCTGGCAGTTTCCAAAATGAGTGGCCACGGATTCTTGATACGATCATTTCAAAAATTGGGGTCCCCCATTGACATACACCCCCCAATTCTACAATCCATGTTAGTCACCCCCCCCCCCTTCGCCTCAAAGTACAAACGATTCGCAGCTTTTGTAAGCCCCTGTATTAACCCATGGAAAAGGTCAGGCCTTTTGGAAACTCGCCATTTGACTGGTTGTTTTTTTTCGCTGCTATCCCAAAATATGCTAGTGAAACATACTTAAGGACTGACTCTAGCCTTCGGGATTAAGGTTTTTGTTAAGGACTGTGCCTCTACTCCTCAGTAGGGCAACAGTCCCACCTGCACCGCCTAACGTACAAGTACCTGTCTAAAGGCTTGTAGTAGGGCATCGGCGTACGTTCCAACAAATACTGGCAATTGTTCGGGCTTCCTATACTCCTTATTCATTGGTAAAAGCCCCTAAACCCTAAACCCCAAACCCTAACTCCCTAACTTCGAAACCCTAAACCCTATTCAAACTTGTAGATTACAGATCCATGGCATGGGCACCAAGCATCTGCATGGTGCAGTTCTCAACATCTGGGCCTCGGCTGTTTCGTGACATGCGCATGGTTTAGGGTTTAAGGATTTAGGAGTTTTAAGGCTTTTAGGGTGCCCGAAAAGGTTGGCCATTATTTCGGCTGTGTGTCCCCTTTTTGTGGTTGCCATCCTTTTCGGGTATTGAATTCGCACGGATTCTTGGTACGAGAATATCATTCTCACATTTTAAGAGGGGGTGGTTGGTTGGTGCTCTTATGTTTCTTGCTTGTTGCTGCTGCAGCTGTTGTTCTCCGTCCCACTTCCTCCTTGTTCTGCTTGCCTTTTTCAAGTCGATGAATATGATGGAAGTTGCAGCAGCTGCCGCTGCCACTCCTCCTCCTCCTCCCCCTCCTCCTCATCCCCCTCCTCCAGTTCCTACTTATATTCTTCCGTCTGCCACTACTACTATGACGTCGATCGAGTGCTATTGTTACTGTCTTGATTTTTTTGATTACCCTCTACCTACGACCACAACTACTGCAGCAACGCTTTCTCCTTCTCCTGCTTCCTGCGCCCTGGTAACTGGAATGACACTTAAACCTTTACTCCATTAATCACTACACCACATGCACAAACTAGCGCTAGGTATCGCTTGAAAGGTCAAAAGTATGGTAAGAACAGTCAGGCTGCACTTCCCAAAGTAGCGGGCGTGGCTTGCCTGCACCTTGCCGACTGAGAGGCGCTTCTCCACGGCCTTCAAGAGCATTGCGGCAACCTGGGGAGCGGCCTTATCTGCAGTCAGCCGGTTCCTAAGTTGCCAATGGGGTTTGTTGAAAACTAATAGGGATTATATAGGTACTATATAGGGATAATATAATATCTATATAGTCCCGGCCTTCTCGTGCGCCTTGGAACTTCAAGGGAAAAAGGTTTCTGAAAGATTGGCGTGGAGCTGGCCAACGTCCGTCAGCAAAGCATAGGCCTTCTTGACATCCGCCACGCAGTCCTTGACATCCTTGGTGCAGCACGCCGCCGCATCAACCTGCAGGTCGTTCAAGAACCCCCCCACCCCGTTCTCGGTCACAATCGCCCCGACCTTGTCCAGCAGGCAGGCACCCACCTCCTCCTTCTCATTGGCAGGCTTGGTGATGAGGAAGTCGCCAGTGAAGAAGTTGTTCTCAAAGTCGCCTGCAGCGATTCTCGCTACCATGCCTGGCAAGGTGGGATCTGCCGGTTCATCTGCCAACGCAGACGGAAGCATCAGGCTCAAAGCAGCAAGCCATGTCAACCAAAGGCCCATGGCGGCAAGGAAAAGATCACACGAGGGCGGCACGGGTCAGCTGAAATGACTTCGGTAAGTCAGGGAAAATGTGTGTCCTGGGGCCGACTAGCTCGACCCAGCAAAGCAGTCAACCGTGGCAGTATGATCCTGCAGAAACATGACAAGCTGAATTCAGGACCTCCTTGGTGCGAAGAGTTGAGCCAGATAGCCCATCAATGCCTTGGGAGGACAGAGGAGGATGCTTCCTTCATGCTTTACAGCTGCTGCACAAAGCCTCCAGTGCCTCAATTTTAGGGTCCAAGGGTGACTAGCAAAAGCCTGCAAATATCTTGCGCTAAACCATGATAACAACAATAAAAGTAACATTAAGAACAACTACAATCAAATAAGAATAAAACCAATACTGGCACCAATAATTACGCCTGAGCCATTTTGGCAGCACCCAGCAAAGAGGTGCACCTGCAGTGCTGTGATCTGTTTTGTTAGTTCAAGACTGCAAGGCTCTACCTTGGATCCTTCTCATTCTAAGGGCAAACAAAGTGTCTCTGAAGGTGGGCTCGCCCTTCGAGAATTTGAGCAACCTTACGAATGGGGAAGGGGATTCATCACCATGATATGATGTTATCCGATATGCATACATATATATATATATATAGTTGTATATACATTATACATCTACATACATATATATATATACAGAACGGGACGCACTACAGGGTAAAAACAATCAGTGGGAAAAGAACTAAAAGCGCACCATTTCTGCGTAGAAATGGGTGCGTCCTACCCTCCATATATACATATATAGTACACACTCATGTACATTACGTAATAAATTCCAAAGGGGCCCCTAGACACTCTCAAAAGGTAGGCAGAGTCGGGGGGCTCTCCATTCCGCGGCCATCCACAGGGCTCGTGGGGCTTCGGGGCAACCGCGCTTTTCCGACCTCTGGTAGGGATGTTTAACGCCGGAATTTCAAGGTAACGTTAATGGGGCGTCGGATTACTAAAGGGGGTCGTATTAGAGCTAAATCCGGGCTGAAAGGATTAATAACAACATAGAAACGGAATAGTGCATGCTAGCTTCAAATCAATTGAAATTTAATTAGAATTCTACATATTAGGGTGGGTTTTAATATTCGGGGGATTTCTAAATATTTAGTTGCAAATATTTCCCAAGCCTTAGGCCAGAGGGCTTAGGGCGTAGTGTTTAGGGTTTATGGGTTCCTCTGGGACCCCCCCCCAAACAAGTTTTCCCGTACTTGATTTGGGGCCCCCAGATTATTCAGATCCGTACTTGTTTGGGGGAGGGGGGGGGTTTTATAATCCGACCTCCCATTCTCGGGGCGGTTCTATGGGGGTTCTATAGGGATAATGGTTCCCAAAATTAGGGTTCTGTTTAGGGGATGTTTAAAGTTTAGGGTTTAGGGTTCAGGGTTTAGGTTTTCATTATAAGGCCTTTTCGTTCCGCAAAAGGCCAAAAGCAAAAATTAAAATTCAAGCATGTACACTCAAGCACACATATGATACAGTGTCAGCGGCAAACTCCACCAGTTCCCTCGGAACCCCTGCAAAGATCATCGCTTAGGGTCTAGGTTTTACGGTTCAGGGTTTTTGTTTTAGCATCTAATAAGGGGCCTAACAGTCAGACCCAAAACTGATGCCAATATAGTCCGTATATACGGCCTACATCGGTAGTATTGCCCCTTAGAAGGGCTCCCTCAGGACCCTATTCTCTGGCCAGCAATAAGACCTCATTGGATGCCACAATTCTACGGCCCTCCTGAGGAAACTGATCCTCGTTTGCAGGCGACATGTCTTAGTCACACACACACACACACACTTCGAGGGACCACAGAAAAGAATCAACAGACCTGCTAGAAGTCTGCGCTGACTCATGTCATGACCCCACACACACCTCAATGTCCATCCACTCCTACTGGGGCAGTGGCCGGATCCTGGATAAATTCCCAAGGTCTCGGCCTGTGAGGTAATCCTCCACAAGGTATGCAGGGGCTGATCGCTGAATGGGGTTACGGCAAGCGTCTGTAGGCTTAGCAGGACGAAGTACTCTGGTGCAGCACGCTGAGTACCTTGAGGATGCAGATGTTGGGGAAAGAAGTCCCCCTGTCCTCTTGTGCTGGAGTTCCCCAAGTCGGGAAGCGGCGGTACCTCTTCAGAATGGATTGCTTGTTGATCTATAATGCCCCTTAATCATGGTGCAGGACACCACACAAGCTGTCAATGACTCCTCAGGGTGACACTAAACGCTAAGCCCAAAACCCTGGACCCTAAACTTGAAACCCTGGACCTCAAACCCTAAACCCTAATGCCTGTTGGAGGATCATGGACGCCTGTAGTTTTGACTCGACTCTAGCTCAGGTCGGGAGCCCGAGGCTCACCCACAAGTTCAAAAGGCCATCCTACAAACTCTATTCTGCGCTTTTCGCACCTGATAGCTAGTAAGCCCTGGCAAAGGCAGCTGGAATTTGAGAAAAGGCCAGCCCTGAACCCCAAACCCTACACCTTGTATAACCCCATGTTACGGCTTATAGCCTTCTATAACCTTATATGAGCTCTAGTCTAAACTCCTAGCATCCCCCTCAATAAGCTCTACCATAGTCCCCTAGAGAATCCCCTGGCTATGTAACCCCCTTTAAGGAGTACCATGAAGCGCGATTCATCTGTCTGACCCGGCCTCTGGAGAATCCGACGCTGCCGACAACCCTAACGCCTCGCTAAAGAAAGGGCTTAGGCTTTATAGGGTCTATGGTTTGGGGTTTAAGGCGTTTTCGGGTTAGGGTTTGGCTTGGGGGTTTGGGTTTAGGGTCTAGGGTACTAGGATGTATACCCCGCTAATGGAGAGTCAAATGGAGAAGGACATGGAAAATGTGATGGACACTGGGGATTGTGTAGTATAGTGGCTTGTAAGGATTGGAGATTTCCAAAATTCGGACTATCTTTTTGCGGGGTCCCTATGATAAGGCTTATCGTATGTTCGGGTCTATATTGCGGTCCGCGTAGTTTGGAACCCTACCACAACTGCGTCTTTTTTGGGACTGTGTGCTTAGGTGCTATCTGTATCATCCTAGTATCCATGTCACTTTCCATCTTCTTTTCCATTTGATTCTCTATTATATATCCCGAATCTTGAGGTGTAGGGCATGGAGTTTAGGATTGGGAGTTTGCCGTTTTCGTTTGAAAAGGAAATGCTTCGGACTTTTGATGTCTGCTCCGGAGCACCAAAGGCTTTGCCTTGTTAGAGCTCAGGGCTCAAGGTTCATAGTGTGTGTCCAGAGGAGACATTTCTCGGACAACCTTGACATGCCAATAGAAAAAGACATCGCTCTGGTGTACTTCGGGCTTGCATGGGAGACCCCTAAACCCTAAACCCTACGGAGTGGTTTCCGATCCTTCCTGCAGGCTTAGCACGGCAGGCTGCTCACTTCCTAGCATCGCTTGAAACCCAACCATTCGTTCTAGACGATCTGATACGGTCCCACATAGTAATCCCCGAAAAGGCAAACCCCGGTTAGGGAATAGTGGGCCAGATAATAAAGTTTTAGTCTCCCGATGTCATTCCCATTGTTTTCCGTGGGAAGCTGTCAACGATGATGTCCTCCCATTCCGGAACCCTAAACCCTAAATCCTAAACCCTAAGCTGTAATCTCCAATCCCTAGCTCTCACACCCTAAGCCCTGGGATTCCCGCCTTCACTGTTCTGTAGTGGGCCCTGGATCTCTTTCTTGACCCCGGATCCCTGTAAACCCTACACAAACCCCCCAAAAAACATAACACCATAACCCCAAATCCCCAAAACCATATCAGCCCCCTGAAGCCCAGAAGACCCTAAACCAGAAGCCCCAAACCCCCAAAACCGTATAAGCACCCTAAAGCCCAACGACCCTTAACCCTAAACCCCAAATCCCCCAAAACCCTAACCTGAACCCCAAAAGTATGCAGAGTAATGGCCTCTTCTGCTATTTTTAAGGGTTTTGGGCCATTATTTTACCTACTTTGGGGGTTTAGGAATAAGCACTAAACCCTAAACCCTAACACCCTTAAGCCTGTACACCATCACCTGACCTGCCGCTGAGCGCGGACTTCAGCTAGGCGCTGCTGGAGGCTCCGAACCTTCCCGAAATTCAGCTGGATTACATATACCTAGGGTCTAGGGTCTAGGGTTTAGGGTCTAGGGTTTAGGGTCTAGGGTTTAGGGTAGGGTTTAGGGTTTAGGGTCTCGGGTTTAGGGTCTAGGGTCTAGGGT